AGTTGTTTTTCAACAGTTGAGTAATTTCTTGCATTTAAATAACTGTTTTGATGTGTTCCAGTCAGGCTTTCGTCCAAACCACAGCACTGAGACTGCTCTTGTAAAGGTCTTTAATGACATCCACTTAAACACAGACAGTGGCAGAACTTCAGTGTTAGTATTATTAGATCTCAGTGCTGCGTTTGACACTGTTGACCACAACATATTACTAGACCGACTGGAAAACTGGGTGGGACTTTCGGAAACAGTTCTAAATTGGTTTGAATCCTACTTAAAGGACAGAAACAACTTTGTTTCTATAGGTAAATACACATCTGAGTTGACAAATATGACCTGTGGGGTTCCTCAAGGCTCCATCTTGGGGCCTCTTCTCTTTAACATCTACATGCTACCACTGGCTCAGATAATGAAAAACAACAAAATAAGTTACCATACAGTAGCTATGCAGATGACACACACATTTATGTAACAATTTCACCAGGAGACTATGCTCCAATTCAAACACTGAGTAAGTGCATTGAACAAATCAATGACTAGATGTGTCAGAACTTTCTCCAATTAAACAAAGATAAAACTGAGGTAATGGTTTTTAGAGCCAAGTCAGAACGTATAAAAGTTAGCGCTGAGCTTCAGTCTGCAATGTTCAAAACAACAGATAAAGCCAGAAATCTAGGTGTAGTCATGGACTCTGATCTGAGTTTCAACAGTCACATTAAAACAGTTACTAAATCAGCCTACTATCACCTAAAGAACATATCTAGGATTAAAAGACTAATGTCACAGCAGGATTTGGAAAAACTTGTCCATGCTTTTATCTTCAGTAGACTGGACTACTGCAATGGTGTCTTTACAGGTCTCACTAAAAAATCTATTAGGAAGCTGCAGCTGATTCAGAACGCCGCTGCTCGAGTCCTCACTAACACTAAGAAAGTGGATCACATCACTCCTGTTCTGAAGTCTTTACACTGGCTTCCTGTGTGTCAAAGAATAGATTTCAAAATACTGCTGCTGGTTTATAAATGGTTTAGGCCCCAAAATACATTTCTGACCTCCTGCTAAATTATGAACCATCCAGATCTCTCAGGTCTTCAGGGACTGGTCAGCTTTCTGTCCCCAGAGTCAGAACTAAACATGGTAAAGCAGCGTTCAGTTATTATGCTCCAAATATCTGGAACAAACTCCCAGAAACCTGCAGGTCCGCTGCAACTCTGACTACTTTTAAATCCAGGCTGAAGACTTTTCTTTTTGTCGCTGCTTTTAATTGAACTATTCATATCTTAGACTGCACTGTAACTTTTATCCATGTATTTTTTCTTTTAATGTTTATTTTATTAGCTTTTCTTTTTAATGACTGATTTTAAATGCCATTTTCTTAATGTCTTTCATTTTATGTAAAGCACTTTGAATTGACTTGTGTTGAAAAGTGCTATATAAATAGGCTGAAGACTTTTCTTTTTGTCGCTGCTTTTAATTGAACTATTCATATCTTAGACTGCACTGTAACTTTTATCCATGTATTTTTTCTTTTAATGTTTATTTTATTAGCTTTTCTTTTTAATGACTGATTTTAAATGCCATTTTCTTAATGTCTTTCATTTTATGTAAAGCACTTTGAATTGACTTGTGTTGAAAAGTGCTATATAAATAAAATTGCCTTGCCTTGCCTTGCCTTTGGATTCTCTACACATAGCGTTGTGTGTTCCTTCCAAACAACTCAACTTTGGTTTCATCTGTCCACAGAATATTTTGCCAGTAGTGCTGTGGAACATCCAGGTGCTCTTTTGCAAACTTCAAACGTGCAGCAATGTTTTTTCTGGACAGCAGTGGCTTCCTCCGTGGTGTCCTCCCATGAACTCCATTCTTGTTCAGTGTTTTACGTATCGTAGATTCGTCAACAGAGATGTTAGCATGTGCCAGAGATTTCTTTAAGTCTCTAGCTGACACTCTAGGATTCTTCTTCACCTCATTGAGCATTCTGCGCTGTGCTCTTGCAGTCATCTTTACAGGACGGCCACTCCTAGGGAGAGTAGCAACAGTGCTGAACTTTCTCCATTTATAGACAATTTGTCTTACCGTGGACTGATGAACATCAAGGCTTTTAGAGATACTTTTGTAACCCTTTCCAGCTTTATGCAAGTCAACTATTCTTAATCGTAGGTCTTCTGAGAGCTCTTTTGTGCGAGGCATGGTTCACATCTGGCAATGCTTCTTAAGAATAGCAAATTCAAAACTGGTGTGTATTTTTTATAGGTCAGGGCAGCTTTAACCAACACCTCCAATCTCGTCTCATTGATTGGACTCCAGGTTGGCTGACTGCTGACTCCAATTAGCTCTTGAAGAAGTCTTTAGCCTAGGGGTTCACATACTTTGTCCACCCTGCACTGTGAATGTTTACATGGTGTGTTCAATAAAAACATGAAAACATATAATTGTTCATGTGGTATTAGTTTAAGCAGACTGTGTTTGTCTATTGTTGTGACTTAGATGAAGATCAGAACACATTATATGACCAACTTATGCAGAAATCCAGGTCATTCCAAAGGGTTCACATACTTTTTCTTGCAACTGTATGTATGTCTCCAGTATGATCCAGTGGCATTGGAGCTTAGACCAATTGTAGTTTGTTTTTGCTCTGTAGCATTCAGTTAGTTTTGAGTCTGTTTATTCGGATGTTTCTCTGTTATGGTCTTATGTTTAAGTTTACCTGTTCCCAGTTAACTTTACAGAGAGAGTGGTAGTTTAACCTAGGATTAATCTACACGTTAGATGTTTGCTAACATATAAAATAATCAGATATGTAGTATGTACACAAGTTGGTATTGAGCCATCTATGCTAAACTAATATGTTACCGGCCTAACAATGAACCCTCTGGTAAAGTGTGACAATTACTATAACATCTCACTGATTGACCCTAACATTAGAACAAAAAAAAGATCTGGACAGTGTTTTTTTATTTGTATTTATTTTAAGTGTATGTTAGGAAAATACATGGAATATCTTAAGAGACTTGGTGGCAGGAGATATTCTGGTGTCACCATTCCAAAGGCTTATTGTTGCTTCACCATCTAATACATTCCCTCCTGCCAAGATTAGCATCCCAATAAAGGTTTGCTAGTGCGTCACATCCAAGTATTTACAACTGTTCCCATACAGTTCATGTGGGCAGAGGGACTATAAAAACATTCCTTTTTTGGAAGGTACAGTAACATGTCCACTGAAGGCTGAGAGACAACAGAAGAGTCAACCCAAGTGTCTCATACGTGTAAGTGGCACATTTGAGATAATAGTTCCCTAACCAGGGAGTGACTGCCTCCTTTGCTCTGTGACAATAATACAGCCACTACCGATTCAAGTAAACCCCATCCTTTCCTCAAGCACCACTTTATCTGAAATGTGTCACTTCACGTAATAGACTCTTGGGTTTGACTCTTCTGTTAGCTGATATGGTTTCCTCATGGTGAGTCAGATTGTCTGTCGCAACCCTGCAACATGCAGTTACCATACCTTGTAGTTGAGATCAACATAAACAAAATGTGGCACACGCAATCAGCATAGAGATGAGGAGGGCAACATTAAAATGCAAAGCACAGGGTTTTAGAGTGTTACATAAACATCCCTCCCCTGTGTCATAGCCCCTTACGTCTGTGTAAGACACATACATAATGGACAAATGCTCCTTGTATGCATCATGTTTAATTACTGCATGTGTGTTCAAAGACCAAACTGACAGGGCCACTTAAACATGTATTGAAATAATCTAGTATGTATACATGTGTTGAACCTCTGATCTCATTACTACTATGCATTGCTTTATGAAGACAGATAACACACTAAAGATAGACACAGGGGTGATGCAGAGAATGTAATGGACAAAAGAGAAGCAAAACACAAGGATAATGAAGGGAAGAAATAAGAGAAACACTCACAGAGACCAATTTGAACAAGAAGCAGACACAGAATTGGACTATCATGGCTGTCACACCTACTGGTGGAAGGGAAGATTGCGTAATAAAAGAACCAATTGGGAAATAATGAAATCTGACAAGACTGTACGAGTGTGGGAAAAACATCCGAGAGAAAAATACTCCTTAACCAGCTCATGAGTCTCCCAAAATAAACTAACTATAACCAGTTCTTGAGATGTTTTATTGACACGGGTAAACAGAATGTAACAACCTAAAAATGTGACAGGTCCGGACTCCCATGCGATCCAATAGTATAACAACATTAGCAACACATATATTTTGGTTGTCAGCAAACTAGAGTCTTAGTTGTTTCCAGTTAGTAAGTAAAGATCAGAAAAACGAGTTTGACAGCATGCTACTGTTCTCAGTGCCAAAGGAGACCAGACTACACATTGGTTCTTGTTTTGTTCATTTGAGTCAACTGAAGGAGTTGGAAGGACTTAAGTCATGCCCAGGCCGCCAGTTGTCTTCCTGACTAGTAATTTAATGCTAAGTTTAGCTAGTTAGCTTACTGGGAATCTACACAAACTGAGATTTCCCTTTCCTGTAGTGTGTTATATACTGTAAGTGTTTGTGCATGTAAATGGTCTGCAAAGGCTAAAATCCCTGTGTTCCCTCCAGAGGGAGTTTCTCTTCCACACACTGCCCCCCCTCCTTTATTTACTTCCGTACACTATTGAAATCAGTATGTAACACTCGCGCTTCTATTGGCTGGTGCTCCATCATCTGAGCTAAGGGGCGGGACATCTCTAAGCGGTTGACTCATCGCAACACAGCCAGCTAACCAATCAGAGCAGACTGGGCTCTGGTTTCAGACAGAGGGTGAAAAGAGGTGCTGCAGCACAGGCAGTATGAGGGAAATAAAGAGCTTTTTGAACATTAGAGGTGAACAATTCAAACATGAACCTGAAAATGAGCATTTTCCTCCTTCATGAAATAAGCAGGTTCTAGGGATAAGGTTAGCAACATCAAGTGGCCTCATGTTATTAATGTTATCAATTGCACCTTTAAGTGCTGTATTGGGCATGCAGTACCTCTGAACGTTTGGTTTACGTGGAGCCATGGGTTCATGCCCTGGTGGTGGGAGGTGACCCCAGAAATCAGGGAAAGCCAGGATGCTGAACCCTGGAATAGATTTGGTTTTGGCAGCAGCAGCGTGGTACAGCCTGGGTTCATGGTGGGGAATACAGACTCCATGTCTCTCCAATAGAGTGTCTATCATGGTTCCATGGTGGGACTCTTCTGCGTCTTCCTCATCATCCAGCTCATCCCCTCTCTGACCGGGAGGGGCTTTTCCCCTTGGAAAAGAAAACAATGATAAGTGCAAACTGCAACAATAAGAAAATAAAGTTTGTAAGTTTTGAAGATAAGTTAAAAGTCCAGGACAGGGGGGGACTTGTGACTTTCTAAAATGTCATCTTTTTAAAACCAGCTTCATGGCCAGATCAATGCCAAAGTGCGATCAGAAAAAACATGATTCAAGCTGCAATATAGGCTATGACGATCATGGTCAATCATAAACACGATTTTTACCACTTTTATCAGAAGGCGATCTGCGACATGACACACAGACACTTCCGTTTTTAACATCCTGTAGAGGAGTAAACTTAATATCTGGGACTTTGGACACAATTAAGTTTCAAATGTATACAATATTATCAACATTTTGTTTATGAAAGATGCACATCTACCTGTACTACAATTAAGAGTCACTGATTTGCCATGTGAATTGTGGCTTGGCAATAACATCATCTCTCCAGTTGGAATAGCTCAAATAGAAAAGGCCTTCAGTATAATTCTACAAACTTTCATTCCAGACATGCAGCTTTATTCTGCCAAGCTGGAATTATTCCCATAACTGCTGGTAGAAAATTAAGCTGTAGAGTAATTGCACATATTACTTAACTAATTACCCAGTGACTGAAAAAAAGCCACAATTACCTTCCAGAATAATCCAGAACAACACATTATTGAGAAAAACATGCAGCTTTTTAGATCTGATTGAGCACATTGACTATACAATGTTCTAACATTGGTCCAGTCATAGGTTCAAGGTTCAAGGTTTGTATTTGTCATACCAACATAGTGTAGTTATGACGATGAAAATCTTAGATCACAGGCTCCTCCAACAGTGCAACACAATAAAACAGATGAACATAAAAATATAGTGCAGGTAAATAATAAATAAATACAGTAAATACAAAAAATATTTGAAAATAGTGAAATAAGAGTCTAAATGCAAGTTATTGGAATATGATATATTAGATAAATCATTTCTAAGTAGCAGCCAGATGAATGTTATGGATGTTTCAACAGTTCAGGGGCCTCATTTATAAACGGTGCGTACGCTCAAAAGATGGTGTACGCCAGTTGCTAAGCAATCTTTGCGATTTATAAAAGACAAACTTGACGGGAAAATGTGCGCTCCTCCACGCACACTCTGACCCAAACGGGAGAAACTGCGACACCGTTGGCAGAAGGAAGAATGGAGAGAAATATGTGGAAATAATACCATGAATAGAATGTTACCTCTCATTTATCATATATGAAGAATTCATTTTCAAAAATTGATTAAAGCCAATCTTAAAATGATTAATGATTTGCAGGTCTCCCTTGAAAAAGAGATCTATGATCTCAATGGGACCAATCTGGTTAAATAAAGGTTTGAAATTAAATTAAACAGACGCCTGTTTGAGACTCCTCAGTGCACACAAAAACTTAATAAATAATAAAAATAAATACGGAAATGTTATTGATCACCCCTCGATTATGTTCTCTTGTTAAGAAATGTATTCTCATAAATGATGCGGTAAACAGAAGGACAGAATTACTTTAAACTGACGCAGTTTTGCTTTTCTATAGGTTGTATAGATACGAACATGTTTAATCATGTTTTGTGCCGTTCGCCAATACTTGATAAGTCGCTCGTAAAACACAGGAGGTATGGAAACTAAGAACACCATATTTGGTCAATTGTACAGCTAATATAACACAACACATTTGTTTTATTTCCTCTAACTGGTGGATAGAGTTGCTGCGGGGGGGTTGAGATGCACAGGCTGCAGTGGAGATGCTGCACACAGCTGATCGACAGCTGGAACACAAACCACGAAATAAAATAAGAAAATCTTTAGATCCATGACTCCGGAGGGATTCCCCGATAATTTCTCTTGTCCCCGGCACAAACACACTGACACACTGCCTGAGGAAGGTTATGTGTATTTTTGTTGTCATTAACTTTTTTCGGACCACTTTATTTTGGAGACGATCCGACCTCCATGCTGCTACTCTGGTTCAAACTGCATCCACCAAACAATATGATTTATCTCGACCTCCCCAAAATAACCAAAATCTGACACGGTGTGAGATGTCTTTTTTAGCTGTTCTGTCGTCATTTCCTGCGATCTTCTTCATAAAGTCAGTCAAAATGAATGAATGAATGGGCGTTTCTTTGACTATTTATTGGCAAATATGGGCGTTACGTGAAGCCCGCAAAAGCTGCACCGCATTTCGAGTTGATTGTGATTTATAAAGGGAAACCGACGTAGGACGTGCTTGCGCAGTGTTTTATAAATCGGAAGACTTGTGTGCGTATTTATTTGCTTTGTCCTACGTAAGCCACCTTCCCACGTGAATCCTACGCAAAGCTTTATAAATGAGGGCCAAGATGTTTAACAGATGTTGTTTCAACAGTTCAGGTGTTCAACAGTTTTATGGCCTGTGGGATGAAACTGTCCCTGAGTCTGGTGGTTGAAGTCTGGATGCTGCGGCAGCAGACAGAACAGTTTGTGGCTGGGGTGATGGGGGTCTTTTATAATCCGGAGGGCTTTCTTCCTGAGCCGCTGGAAGTGAAGATCCTCCATGGAGGGCAGCTCCGTCCTGGTGATGTTCTGTGCAGTTTTCACCACCCTCTGTAGAGTCTTACGGTTGAGGGCGGTGCAGCTGCCGTACCAGGCCGTGATGCAGCCAGTCAGGATCCTCTCTATGGTGCACCTGTAGAAGGTCAGGATGCTCTCTATGGTGCACCTGTAGAAGGTCAGGATGCTCTCTATGGTGCACCTGTAGAAGGTCAGGATCCTCTCTATGGTGCACCTGTAGAAGGTCAGGATCCTCTCTATGGTGCACCTGTAGAAGTTCCAGAGTACCCTGGAGTCCATGTTGAACCTCCTCAGCCTGCAGAGGAAGAAGCCGCTGTCGAGCTTTTTGGTGATGGTGGTGGTGTGAAGAGTCCATGTCAGGTCCTCAGTGATGTGGACAACGAGGAACCTGAAGCTGCTGACTCTCCCCACTGTAGTCCCATTGATGGCGATGGGGGCGTGTCCCTCTCTCTGCTGCTTCCTGTAATCCACAATCAGCTCCTTGGTTCTGCTGACGTTGAGATGGAGGTTGTTATCCAGGCATCAAGATGTCAGGTTTTCGACTTCCTCTCTGTACGCCATCTTGTCACCGTCTGTGATCTGGCCGATGGCGGTCGTGTCGTCAGCAAACTTCACGATGGTGTTGGAGCTGTGTGGGGCCACGCAGTCGTGAGTGAACAGGGAGTAGAGGAGAGGGCTGAGCATGCAGCCTTGAGGGGCTCCGGTGTTGAGGATCAGGGTGGAGGATGTGAGGTTTGGACCATGTCTTGTTTTTAAAGGAATTACCTCAGGTAATTATTTCAGATATACCTTATTTCCTTTGTGGATAAAGATTACATGTCATTTCATCATTAATGCAGATTGCCTTATCTATCCATGCAGAGGAAGCCAGCATACCTTGCCTCTCTAACCATGGTCCTAAAGCTGGGGCTGGTGCTGAGGATGCTGCTGTCACTGTGGAAATCACACGCCTTTAAATGTGAGGCAGCTGCAGAGAGAGGAAACAAAATAGAAACTATGAAATTCTACTTTTAACAATAAGAGGAGAAAACCATGCTTTGTTTTTCTTAGATGATGAAAACGTTATCGTCTTCTTGTAGTCTCAGTAAGAATATAGATGGTAGTATCACATTTGCCCTGGCCCTGGCTCTGACCTGCTGTGTCTGGTTCTGTCTCTGAGTGAGACCCAGAGGAGGAGGTGGACCAATCCCAGCTGGCAGAACTCCTCCTCCTGTCCCTCCTGGAGGAGCCGAAAGAAGAAGTGTTGAGCAGCACAGCTTCGTCGTCTGAGGAAGACGAAGACGCAGTGGAACCCTCCTCGGGCTCGGAACTCAAATCCAGCTCCTGTGGGACACAAATGTTTGGGTCATGGTCATTTTATTTGCTCAAAGGCCAATTTGTCTGCCAAAAGCTTCATTTAAAGGACTTGTCGAGACATGAGAAAGATGTGTCTTTAAGAGGCCCTGTCGTGTGTTATAGGTAAATATAGCTAAAAATCCCAAAAATCAGATACTAAACCCATCCTCTCCCCACCCCTTGCCTCAAATGCCTCCATATGACTCCTGTGTTTACTTTCCTAACATAGTGACATCACTATGTAACAATCAAGCTTCTATTGGCTAGAGCCCCAACACATTGTATGTGATATGCTAAGGAGAAGGACATCTCTAAGCGGTTGACAAATCACAACAGAGCCGGCCAGCTAACCAATCAGAGCAGACTGGGCTCTGGTTTCAGACAAAGGGTGAAAAGAGGTGCTGCAGCACAGGCAGTATGAGATAAATGAAGAGCTTTTTGAACATTAAAGCATGGAGACATGTCACAGTAGAGACACTACATACTAATATGAACCTGAAAATGAGCACAATATATCTTCTTTCATTTAAAATATAATGATTTTCAGGAAATGACTTGATTCTAATCCTTCTTTATTTCTCTCTAGAAAACATGAAAACACTACATTAAGACACTACTGTACCTGCCAGCTTTTAATAAAACAATCATGTTTTGCATGTTTTTTCATCAGCAGTCAACCAGCTAGACTTCGATAAATGGATGACACAAAGGGTAATCACAATGAGGTAAGATCTAACATAGATACTGCAGTATAGGAATGATATCTCATGGTGTATTTGATGAAGGAAACATGCTTTGTGCTCTCACATTAGATTTATCCTGGTAATAAATTCTGACATGTAAGCATGGATGAGCTTCCCATTAGTCAGACATTATCACGAGTCATGTCAGATGGTATCCTGATATCCCGGTTTTTTATGACATGAAACATTATCATGGACCGAGACACTCGTTGATCATCTCCAATCTGTCTCTGACACTATCTATTTCTGTCTTTCACACACACATACACCACACGAGCACACACATACACACACACAGAGAATCTCTGTCACAAAAACACATATGCATGTATTCAGATCATTTCAAGGAAAAATATCAATACCATATTATTGAAACCACTCCATTACAACTCATATTGCAAGCTTGCATTCAAGAGCCTACCAAAGTAAACATACATAAGTCAGAAAATATACTTGAAGTGTTAGTAAGTAAAATGTTTCATTATGAAACATTTGTATGCACATTTTCAGCTTCATATTTTTATTGTGCCTCTACTGTGACATGTCACCATGCTTTAATGTTCAAAAAGCTCTTTATTTTTCTCACACTGTCTGTGCTGCAGCACCTCTTTTCACCCTCTGTCTGAAACCAGAGCCTAGTCTGCTCTGATTGGTTAGCTGGCCGGCTCTGCTGTGATTTGTCAACCGCTTAGAGATGTCCTTCCCTTAGCATATCACATACAGTACAATGTGTTGGGGCTCTAGAAGCGCGAGTGTTACATAGTGATGTCACTATGTTATGGAAGCTAACAAAGGAGTCTAATGGAGGCGTTTCAGGAAGGGGGGGGGGGGGGAGTGTGTGATAGAGAAACTACCTCTAGAGGGAACTTTGGGATTTTAACCTTTGTAGACCATTTAGATGCACAAAAACCTATAACACACACTACAGGAACAGAAAAACGCAAAAAGCACATTAGGGCCTCTTTAATATAAGTGGTGCAGCCAAGATGCCAAACTCTAAATATGCTGCTGTTAATACATGTTTCAAATATCAGATTTCTCAATTAAAAATAATATTGAGCATATGTAAAGGCAGCAATCTCTCATAATAACGCTTACGCCTTCTTCCTCATAGTCACTCATTGTAATTAAGATGTGATCACAGGCCTTAAGTGAAAGCTCCACTTATCATCAATTACAATTCTGTCAGGATTAAAAAGGATTATTGGATACACACCATATTGGACTGACATTTAAGAGCTGCACCACTCCACATGAATGCTCTGTGTCTGATGTATGTGTACATGTACTGTATATAGGCAGAGGTTTTATGATGCAATATTATTCCAACCCTACTTAATGCAGCCCTACATCACCAGAGTGAATAGATCCAATATAGGAGTCAAAAGCACAAGTATGCCCTTTAGAAATGTGTCAGGTGTGTTGAGATTGAGCATGTCTTTGATGAACGTTTATCTCCGCTCTCTGTAGAATTAGTCATGTCTACCTCTGCTAAGAGCCATGGAAGTCACGATGATCATGACCATGTATGACATTAGCACCCGAGCACGCACGCACGCACGCACGCACACACAGACACACACAGCGTGTCATTGCCTGCCTCCTTCTCTAATCCGTCATGTCCTCCTGCAGTAACAGCCATGTAAGTCATGATTATATCCTGCACATTTCAAAAAGAGCTCTTTATTCTTACTGATTTTGATCTTACTACCCAACACGATGCTCCATAATAGTGAACCTAATCTCACCTAAACAATAGACAAACCCTTAGGTGTTAAGTGTGAGATTTCTGATGTGCCACCTCTGCTCAAAGTCTGCCTTCTTTGGCAAATTCATGTCATGATCTTTCACGTTTTGGTGTTTAATGTTCCTGTCATCATTTGAAATGTATTTTCTCTTTGTGTCTTATCTAGTTTTACTTGATCTTTTTGGTTTTGCTGCCTTTTGTGATTGTATGATTGTAATAATCATGCCACTTGGGATTCTGCCTTCTGTTTCTTGTGTGTCAGGCCTGTCTCCCCTTGTGTTTTTTGTCAGTTTGTCGTCTGTTTTCCTGTCTGTTTCCCTGAGGTCCTGCCTGTGTTCCCACTCTTGTACCTTGTGCCATCCGGTCTGTACTTGTTCAGTTTTTCTTTAATTTTGTTGTTTTGTGTTGGTACTTTTGTATCAGCTTTGTTTTATTAACAATATCAAATCAAATCAAGTTTTATTTATATAGCACATTTATAAACGATTTTTGGTCGAGCCAAAGTGCTTAAAAAATGGGAGAAACCTCAGGGAGAGCAACAGAGGAGGGATCCCTCTCCCAGGACGGACAGACGTGCAATAGATGCCGTGTGTAAATCGAAGAGATAACACATTTTACAGCATATAGACCGAATGTTAGGAAATGCATGTGTCTGTAATAAGAAGATGAATCCACGAGGATGTCAGATATGTTATATCTCTCACAGGCTCAGCCCTCTACTGGACTCCATGGGTACTACCCCTTGATCATATCATGCAAGCATTCATCCACTGACCACCCCCCTCATGGAGGAAGCCCTGCGGCATCCCTTCTGGGTGCAAAGGAGCAGCGGCTCAACTCTGAGTCTGTACCGGATGATTTAACTTCTCAGTCCTCGGGAGAAGCAATTCTGTCCTACAGGATTCATATTGCAGCCCATTACCCGTCAAACATGTATTAGCTAATGTTGCTATCAAAGCAGTTAACTGATGGGGCTCTCATATCCACATACTTCTTAATATATTCAATACAGATGCTGCTCCTTGGCACAATATGATTATATGTGTTTCGGTAGAATACATTGGTGATGATATAGCAGCAGTATCAGTCCTGCCTTTCTGTCTCTGGAACACAGCTATTGAAGCCAGTAATACAAAACATTCTAAATGAACTTCTGTCAGAAACATTAACAAACATGACAAGAAAAACATCATCTGTCACTCTCTGCCACGCCGGGTGTATTTTTCTCTGCTTCTGTAAGAAATTCAAATCAATATGATACGTGAATATTAAATGAATGCACCGTTTTATTTTGAAGGAAAACCCGGTTGTTTACGTTATCTTTGTTTTCAGCCGCTAGAATGTATTAAATCAAAAGTCATGAATGAGAATATGAGGAGAAAAACACACAACGTCTAAATCCCCTTATTTGATGCCATATCAATCCAGAGGAACGAAGCCTGGAGGAAGATCCGCCCATCGTCGAAGCAGCCAATGGGAAGAGGAGAAGGGGATTATATATATATATAGAGTGGCGAAGTCCCTCCCCTCCCTGTATTATGTATTGAAGTCAATGGAGAGAGAAAGATTATCTTTCGATCCCGTTTGAATTGTGCCACGAATTACACATATGATGTTTGTCAATTTAAAAGATACTTTTGCCAGTCAAAAAAAAAAATGAACACATTTTTTTGTGTGAAACGCTGAATGAACTATATCTCTGGTCTTGCACAACAACACACGTTACCAAGATGGCCGTCACTACTCTCTTGCTAAACAAGGGATTGACTACCCTCACTATCACCACAATGAAACACGTCCAGAAGAATGTCATGCAAAGCTGCCTGCCTTCTTTTGATTCTCTCTGAACTGCCTGGTCTTTTTAATGTTTAATGTCAACCATTTGAGCAGATAGCATGAAGTAAAAAAGATCGCCGATGCTAATGTAGCGTTCACACCGGACGCGATGCGATGTTTGGGGGCGGCGCGATTAAATGTAAAGTCAATGCAGAGACACGGACAGACGCAAATTCGCTCCGACGGCGAGCATGAAGCGGAGGATGCGGCGTGAATCACGCGATTGAGGCGATTGAACTGTGCCGCGTCAAACGCGAGAGTTCAATTTGTTCAACTCGAGCGTCAAATTCACGTGACGCGTTCTCGCGGAAGCCAATCAGCGGTGAGGATCTCAGCCTGCCGCATAGCCGCGGGAAGTAGGGGTGCTGGGGGTGCTGCAGCACCCCCTGTTGGCGAGTGGTGTACATTTGAAAAACTGAGTGACCACCTAAATAAAAATGATTAAACTACATCAAATAGTTATGATTTTACTTAAAATAAAATTAGCTGTATACAGTAGCATATAATAGTCATAGTATATATTTGTATATATCAGGTGGCTTGAATTTATTTTCCAAATAAGTAAAATCCGAGTCATCTAGGTCGTAGGTCTTGGGAGAGTGACGTAATTGACGCGACACACACACTGCAGTGACAACTTTCTAGAATGGAGCAAAAAAGGATTTTGGATTTTTTTTCTCCAACAAACAACCCAATAAAAAGAGTGGACCACCAGCTACTCCTCAGCCCACCACCTCTACAACTAGAGTAATATATATAAATTATCCATTATCTCATTACATTTGCGCATATTTTAACACATTTCAGGAACCGAAATCTGAACTTTGGATAAAGCCAGGTTCAAAATTCTCGTTTCATTTTGTAGTCATATTAGCATCTACTGTAAGGCTTTCACCGAAGGGATTTTGGATATCTCTCGTTATCACTCCATAAATCAGAAAAATATTGTCAACAGCCCTAAAATATCAATTTTTGCCATGTTTCTAGGTATACAATCTTATATAATTCAGGCTATGAATGATATATGAACAAACCCTTCTGTAAAAGCCTTCATAATATTGATAGTAATATAACTGGAAGGTCTGGTGTATGTAATTGCAACTGAAGTGGACATTTCGGACTTAGAGTAGGAGAAAAAACTCATTTTGAGAAAACGAACTTTAAAGATTGCAGTGAGGCGCTAGCTAAACCCTCTGTTCTTTGGATGACAGCTTGCGCATCGACGCACTCCGTGAAGGTATTTCATGGTCGGGGTCATTTGTGTTTTGTATAACCTTGCTTCGTGCAAGTGACAATTGTTGTTGTCTTCTGTGAACGTTTTTTTCCGCCGTTTTTTTGCCATTTTGAGATTTACATTTCTAGCGGAAAGCTAATCAGGAAGTGTTTTAGCACACCACGTGATGCATCTGAACGAATCACGTTGTCAGAAATTGACACCAGCCAATGAGATTTCGTTTCTTGGTTTAAGACCCTTTTGTGCTTTCACGATTGGTTGCTGATACAAAGGAAATTACCATATTTGGATCCGATGAGATCATTGTGCAGGAGAGACGGAGCTTTTCCAACGATGACATTGTGCAAACAGCGATCGCGGTACTTTATGTTACGTTAGAAATGCTAACTTTTGGTGAATTTAGGAGAAATATACAGATGCAAATAGACAAACTATAGTAAAATGAACACTTAAATGTGTATTTTGTACGTTTTCCTTCCAAAAGCCTGAAAGAAAACATGTTATGGAATCAAAATAGCACAACATCTAAAAATTGACCAGTGCATGAAAAACGATGTTTTTGCCTGCCGTGTCTCGCCTTTAACAAACAATGTATGCGGCTCGTATCGCTGACAGCCGGGCCCGGCCCGGCACCGCCTTTTAAAAAAAAATGTAAACGGCTCCATCCCCACTTTTGGCAGCACCCCCTGAGCAAAATGACTTCCCGCGGCTATGGCCTGCCGTCACTGACGTTCAACCAGAAAACATCAGCCGTTAGCTGTTAGCAGTTAGCACACAGAGATCACAGCTCATATCTGTTCAGAAACTGGACAAAAGTTAAACAAGTACAAACCACAGATTGTCTGTGTCATGGGGAATACAGTCGCTGGTTTATTTATGTCTGTAGGCCGTTGTTATGAGTGTGGAATGAGCATATACAACGTTAGCTTAGCCTGGTCGACCCGACCTTCATTCCGAAAACAAGCATTTTAAAAGGTTTTTCGCCTGCCGTCTTGTCTGCAAACTTGTCAAGCATTAATTCATGGTTTTTACTAACCGGTATCAGTATGTTGTTACTTCGGCATCATTTAGAGACATGTATTACAATTTAATCACGGTAAAATATGTTAATTGTGTTGTAGTTGTAGCTCCCGAGCCAGCGCGTCTTGTTTGAATGATGCGAGTAAACACAGCTGGCAGCCGCGGTGAAACTCGAGCAATTAGAGCGAAGCGAATATTCGCATTGCGTCCGGTGTGAACGCCCCATTAGACTAGAGCGATGCGATAGGAGCGATTAGAACAAAGCGAATATTCGCATCGCGTCCGGTGTGAACGCCCCATTAGACTAGAGCAGTGCTTCTCAAAGTATGGTCCGCGGACCACTGGTGGTCCGTGAGCGCCCCCTAGTGGTCCGTAAGTATATTGGTAACATTTCACATTTGAAATTAATTAAGTAATTTAAGTTTTTCGCACTCTCGCGGGAATATCTCCGCAATGGAGCAAGCTTAAGTTTCACTTTCGATTGCATGATATAGCCCAGATAAACACCTTCACCACACATGTTGCCACTTGGTGGTACCATTTTCAGGCGATTTGTAAAAAACGATGTGTTTTTGGATATTTGTGGAGTTAGGTGGTCCTCGAGTGTTTTTTTTATTGGTTAAGTGGTCCTTGGTATGAAAAAGTTTGAGAAACACTGGACTAGAGCGATGCGATAGAAGCGATTAGAGCAAAGCGAATATTCGCATCGCGTCCGGTGTGAATGCCCCACTAAGGCTGTAATGCTAACAAAGTGCTTGGAAGTAGATGGGCGTGACTTCGCCACTTGATACACACTGCACGCGGTTTCACAGGCTCTCTTTCTGTACACAGCAATTTGAAGACTTGCTTGTTTGATCCAATACAACAATACTTTATTAAATTACTCATTTGAACTTTCCGAGACTCCATTCGTCTCCTTTTTAACTTTCTCCTGGCTGCGAACCAAAGAATACATCTTCACTTCCTCTCCTTCTTCCAAAACTTACATTTCTTGCAGAATCTGTATTTGTCATGGTTGCCTCTGCGTTTTACAGCCGTGACCCTAGAATGTTATCTAGGGTTTGCTAGTGTTTCCCCTTCCATGGTTCTATTACAATGTCCAAACTTAGGCATTCAGGTGCATTCCCGGTTATTGACAATTCAACCCCAACCATGTTTTGTGTGTGTGTTGGCATGGTTTCCCCTCCTGCTCATCATGCATGCCTGCAATCAGCTCTCCATGTCCTCAGTGTGCTCAGCTGCCTCTCATCAGCTCACATTTTACCAACACGGCTCTTCAACAGATTGTTGTTTCAACCTTATTGAACTCAAGCTCCTTTCACACATGCATTGCAACCATGAAATTATCTTGACATCACCCAGAGGAGCTGTTTGTGAAAACAAATGTTGGAATCATTTTGACCGGAGATCTTTCAGACTTTTCGCTGCCAGTAGTGTGTGTGTAAAGTACAATTTGGCTAATCCGAGTAGAGTTCTAACCCCTAACCCTAAAGCCCTTATTGTCCAAAAAGTGTGAAACAAGAAGAAAAATAACCTAGGGCAAGTAAGTCTTGCAGCGAACAAACCGTAGCTCAATTAAGGTTAGGAAAATATCTCAAGGGGGGGTTTTGTGCAGTGAAGTGGGTAGACTATGAGATTGGAGCTAGACCCATCTCCAAGCTTAAAGAAGAAGTGTCATTCAAACAAAAATACCAACAAAATATCTAACTGGAGAGACCCATAAACCTTTGCCTGTAGGGACACAGAAATGTTGAGCAAAACTCATAGAGAGGCAAGAAAATCGTTGTTTATCAAATTCTGAGCTGACTACGTGACCCTAGCTTCACACCAGCCACCATCATTTGCTCAAACCAATAAAATATTCCTAGTGAGAATGCATCAGACAATCTCTTGTTTATTACTTGACGTATTTACCTGGAAGTCATGTGAGAGTTCAGGACAGAGGCGGCTGTACTGTGGCAGCAGCTCGTTGGGTCTGTCTGGGTCGGGAAGGAAACGAAGTTTGTTCAGGTCAGTCTCCAAATCATCATCCTGGAAAGAAAGAGTTAAACAGAAACGTACTCAAAGACTTTTAAATTGGACAAGTATTTGGGCAATTAAAGTGTCTTGAACCAGATAAGATACTGAATAAGTGGTCATTAAAGTATGGTTGAAAAATGAATAGTATTATATATACAATTATAATACTGTATATAATAGAGCAATAGCGCAACAAATAGGGAATGAATATCATCTTTTAAAATAGCTTCTGTATGTCATAGACGTTTTGCTTCCTATGTCTACACAAGAGTCGTAGCATTAGCATCATGCTAGCATAGCAGCAGATATATTTGTTGTATTTCAATTATTAAACATAATCTCTAACTCATAGGTAACCAGAGACTAAATGGTACGGTCAAGTCAAACCTGATTTTTTCCCTCAGACCAAATATGATGTATCAGTTTTTTCCTAAGATCTTTGACAATAAAAACATTTGGTTAAAGTGTGTACATATGGGTCATTCTACCGAATTGATGCAAAGTCAGGTTGGAACAGTTTTGAAATGTTGTATGTTTTTTTCCCAAAACTTTGTCCATATATATTTTGTACCATATCTAAATTACACATATCTAGTAAAATAACTGTACATTTTTATATCGTTTTTTCAGACTGTATTGGAATGTTCTTCCTCTACCAAAAATGGTCACTACCGAAACATAGTACATACACTGTAGTCAAAAAGTATTATAGTAACCTGTTAAGATTGTTTTACCTTCCCTTATCTAAATAGTATTTTAACAAATATTTCTTGAGGGTTTTCACAATTAAATCAATGCAATTTAATTTGTAATCAAATTTCAAAGTTCAATTTATACAATTCATAAAAATCTCAATACAATTTTTCTTTGTAAAATGCATAATACTGATCATATTGATTCCAGAGTTGATGATTGTTGAAATTGAACATACATTAAACCAATCAGTATCATATCATTGTATTTGATAAGTCAATATACTTGATTTTTTTCAAAACATCCAGTGTTTCGATAGTGACCACAGTATTTAGTTCTCTAGGTTGTATCATATTCCCTCAACCTTATTGCTTAATCTTAACTCATAACATGCCTTATGTTGAAGTGTGAATGTTTGAAGCTACTGACCCAGAATCAGCACTTTAGTAACAGGCTGAAATAGAGGGGGATGAGGCTAGAATGGGTGATCTGATTGGTATTTTGTGCAAAACACTTCATAGACATGTTTTTTATATATCTGAGACCTATAATATATGCCTACACATAGTATAATAAGAGACCTTTAAAGTAACACACTGATTTTCAGACTTTAAAACATTTATTTCAAAACTATGGGATTTACCTGCTTACCATTCCATTTTGTCACTACCGAAACGATCATGTCAATTACCGAAACGTAACCATATGTTTCGGTAGTGATTGTTTCGGTAGTGACGATTCTAACTCAAATTGAGCATAACTAAAGAATGCTAGCAAGTACATGGCTAGCATACACGTTTTTTAAAAGGTTTACACACATAAAAACCTAATACTTTGCATAAAACTTAATTGAAGATAATATGTGTTCGGTAGTGACAATTCTTACACGCCGATTTTCAGATTTTGGAACAGATTTATATCAAAAATATGGGATATAGCTACTTTCCATTCAGCCATGAGGGACAGGGATGCAGTGTCACTGCCTTGTCAAAAGTGCAGGGGTGTGGCTAAAAACTAGGCTCAGCCATTGGACTAAAACCCCTTGTGTTTCGGTAGTGACATGAAAACTGGGGACATGATTTTTTGAGTATAGTTTTTTTATTAAAAAGTTAAACCCACAATAAATATAAATATTCCAACTTCTGTTTGAATGTAATCATGAAGATCTTCTAAATACACCATTCGACAAAATAAAATAAAATGTTTTAAATGTTATTTACAGAACATGAAATGTAGATGTCAGGGTTGGGGACAGCTACTTCCCAATAGAAAGTACCCTATAAATTATGTTTTTATATATATTAAGCTTATCACCATATCATTGAATGCCTTATGTTTAAATAGACCATAACATATTCTTAGTAAATATCCATGTCCGAATATTAATTGTTTTGTTAAATAGTTTTTTTTTTGTGGGACCGCACTTTGCATCAATTCGGTAGAATGCCCCATATATTACTTCAGCGAGAAAGTGGAAAACAAATGGAACTTTTTCTGATAGGCAAAATCAGTGGGTGTTGTGGGTGGCACTTGTTGACAGCCCCCTGTATAAAACAAAGAACATCTGTCTCTTCCTGTCTACCACATACTGCCACACTGGGAATGCAGCATTAGTCAGTAACTGAGTCACGATAAACAAATCATTGTATGTAAATCAAGTCTGTCCAATGAGCAGTGTCTGCTTAATAAGAGGAAGAAGAACAGAGCTCCTTCCACACATATTACTCCATAAATATCCTGCGCTCTGTCATATTGGCCTCATGTTATTGTTAGTCACTGGCAGTCTGCCTGTTTACTGACATTTTGATTATTTATGACTCAAGAGAGAATAAAAGCACTCACAATGTTCTTACTTTTGATGGTTTTGTCTCTGAGGGGAACCAATCACAAGAACCTCAGCACAAAGGATCTATTTGAACAATAGTGTGGTGCTTGAGTTTTGTCATGACAGTTAGGTTTACAGAGTTGGGATCATTGTTCCAGAACACAGACTTGTACAATCTGTACCCACCAATGGGATCCAGTACAAGGCCCCAGAAGACTTTTTCTCATTGACTTAGGCTTGGAAGGGGAAGTCCTTAAATCAGCAGATATTTTTTTTGTATAAATCAACTAGCTTGGACAAACTCTTGAATGGTCCTTATTAAAATCATTAGGGACCACATTTCATAAATGAGTTATTTTCCCTCTTTTCCCCATTTGGAGCCGGTCTTAAAGAAAGAACGCAAGTGCAAATGCTACATAGGTCCCAAATGCCGAAGTGTAATGTCTGTTTTTACTTTCTGTCTTTGTGTGTTTTCCTGTTAGTTTAGATTGTCTGTCCTGGACTTATTAGTTTCACATGAACGCCATTAGGTCTGCAACAACCTGACGTTCTATACACATGCACTGTTTTTGTCAGTGTTTGTCCTTCTTGGGAAGTTCTGTTCAGCCTTGCTTTGTCTGAAGAAGGCCTTTAATGTAGGCCTACCCATTCAAACACTCTGTAGTGTATTGATTTTCTAACCAGCTGTTCTTTGGGGGAAAGATTTGGCGCCCTCTGGAGGGAAACAGAGAGTATTTATTCCACTTGTTCACACATTTAAATGTCCCTTTAACCTCTTAAGCCCGAAGGTCCCCCCAGTGGACCCCTCCCACAGTTTTTTTTCGAGACTATGTCTCAGGGCTTCTTAACATTTATGAAACTATTAATGTTTCATACCCTTTTAAAGGTAAGAAACTCCGCTAACTGACAATAAGAACAATTTTTAGCTAAAAAAACACAAGAGTAATACCAAGCCTTTGAATTAGTATTGAGCGAAAAAATGCTAACTAATGCTAACTCTTTTTTTACACAGAACTCACGGTATAAATGCCCTTATTACTATCTTAACTGCACAAAGAAGATATACGATTTAAAGCTGAGACTCCACAGATTCCACACATGTAATGTCATCACTGTCCGACCTCGAATTCCTGGAGCTATCAGCCAGAAAAGAGAAAGCAAACAACATCCGGTTTCAAAAATATTACAATAATTACGTCTTACCTTTTTTTGATTTGTGATCAAAAGTTGTGTTCAACGGAATAAAAACGCCGCTCAAGGTTAATCCAATGTCTTTGTGTCACGTAGACATTTTTACTGATAATCCATCATCATATTTATGGCAATATACTGGGTATAACGTTTTGCACTTTCAGATATGCTTCGTTTGCTTCTCTATTACGTCCGCTATGGTAATGTTTACGTGGATTTGGGAACTGCCCATCGATTCTATTGGATGTAATGGTTAAGAAAAAGGTGTAAATCACACGAATCGACCAATGGGTTCCAGAGATATGGTCCTGCGTAAAGTATAAAGAATGCCAGCCAGCGTAACAACATTACGCAGCCGACTTCATTTATTGTTTACAACGTAACGAAGCAGGAATTGCAGCAGGACCCAGAGCGCACGGAGCACAGAGCGGACAGCAGATAACGGAATTGCAGTTTTATTGCTTATAGATTATCAGAACATTTCAAAGGGGTCACATTGGATATTAACCTATGGATTAACTACATCAGGGGTACTCAAATACAAATCTTAAAGGTCCAAAATAAATGTTTCAATAAGACAAAGGTCCGTTTATTACGGTCATTCAAACTTTTAAACAATTGCAACAAGATTCTTAACACGAGGTTGCAAAAACAAAAATAATCTGTATGCAGCAGTTTTCATTGTTATTGTGTCTGTGCTTGACCCCTCAGAGTCGCAGAGCTGCACAGTTATGAATAAAGGCAGCTGCACCCTCTTTCATTCAGCATTCCCATTATTGCTTTATACATTTATTCCCCCTTGTGTGTCCACTGAGGTTCGTCAGGCCCAACACATCTTCAACAAACTCCCCCTTTGCCTCATCATAACAACTCACAAACACCAGCAACTGAGCATTGTCAGTGGTGTCAGTGGACTCACCCACAGCTAAGGAAATGCACTGTGCATTTTTTATTCCATCACAAAGCCGATGAATCAAATCACCAGCCAGTATGTATGTTCTTCTGGTTGCTGTGGAATCTGAGAGGGGGATTTGCTTGATTTGGCCTGTTATTTCCTCTTTTTGTTTGCCTTCAACATGGTCTCCATCACTTCAGTCATGCATTCTTTTATACTGCAGTTATTATCCAGTGGAAAGTCCTTACCTACTGGCCTAGTTCAATCAAAGTGGTTACTTTCTGTTGGCTGGGCAGTGTAGTTTTACACACCGTCTGATTTGACTTTCTCAGGACTTAAAACAGTTTTTTGGGGGCAGACCCCCTCAAAGAAAAAAATATATTTACACACGTAAGGTCATCATCTTAA